TGGGTTTCCATGATTTTCTTTTTTTCTTTTGGAGACAAAGTCTCACTTTGTTGCCCTTCACAGAGTACCATGGTGTCACAGCTCACAGCAACCAAAACTCTTGGGCTCAAGTGATTCTCTTGCCTCAGCCTCCCAGGTAGCTGGGACTATAGGCACCTGCCACAACACCCAGCTATTTTTAGAGATGAGGTCTTGCTCTGGCTCAGGCTGGTCTCAAACTCATGAGCTCAGGCAATCCACCCCCCTCAGCCTCCCAGAGTGCTAGAATTACAGACGTGAGCCACCGTGCCTGGTTTCCATGACTTTTAGAGCCAATAGGTCTTAGGCAAGCTCCTAAAATAATACAGTTCTATGCGGAAAGTCTTTAGAAGAAAGGAAATAATTAAAACCATGAAGACCTCATAACATCATCTGGAAGGTCCTCCACGGCTGGCCCCACTTCCCTCCAGCCCCTTCTGCACCACGTTGCTCTCTGCTCCCCTCCAGACAAGCACCAGCCACACCCCAAACACAGGAGCTGTGTTCCAGTTCTCCACAGGCGAATGGTCAAGAGAACACCTCTATTTCTTATCCCATCACATTCTGCTCTCTGCAGGCCTTGCTTGTCTCCCCACAAAACTCCCTTCAAGTGCCTCTGGAAAGGGACTCCTCAGACTTGGATGAGCTTCTTTACACATATAAATAATCCAATTTCTATTTGGGGGAGCACTCACCTCGATGTATAATCACAAACCTATCCTACGGAGTACCAAGAAATAAGAACTGACTGAAAGATGGACATAACGTCCCTTTTACTTAATTTTATACCCAGCACTTAGACACAGTAGGCTCTCAACACATCTGAGTAGAGAGGTAATGCTGCCCGTGCTGACCAGGGTGCCACACAACTTCCTAATTATTTTGCTTACGGCTTATTCTTCCTATTAAACAAACACTGTGCCACCTTTTCCTGATGGTTCTACCAGTAATTCCTGACGTCTTCTGGCAGATGCATAACAAGTAGCACAGGACACTGTCTAATTCAGAACGTTAAGCCACTCCTCCACGGGCTTCCAAAAATAAAGACTGACAGGGTGCGGTGGCTCACGCCAGTTATCCTAGCACTCTGGGAGGCTGAGGCAGGAGGATCCATTGAGCCCAGGAGTTTGAGGTTGCTGTGAGTTATGATCGACACCATGGCACTCTACCCAGGGCAACAGAGGGAGACCCAGTCAAAAAATAAAATAAAGTTCAATGGAAACTATGATGGAGTAGAAAACAAAAGCTATGAGGCCATGGCACTTTACCCAGGGGAAAAAAAAAACATTATAGGATTTTCTTTAAGGTTATTAGCTTACTGCAAGCTTTTTGTTTTCCTATAATGTTCTAGAAGCAGAAGTCCAAACATACAGGTAAGAATGCACACTTTGTTTTATGAATAGTCAAAATCCCACCTGAAGACAGTGCATTCTCTCATTACTCACTCAACAAACATATGCCAGGCAACACCTCCCTGTTATGCAGTGCGGTAGGTAGCATGGGAAATGCCTGCAAGGAACGGGGTGGGGTGGGAAGCTGCACACAGTCTACTGAACACTTATCGTATATGTCAAGCCACTTTGTATGGTGTCAGGGCAATAAGAACAGTAACAAATATACCTGGAGCCTGCTCACTCCTCTATTAGATTCAGTAGCACTTTTTCATCTGTCATCTGCACCATAACATTGTCATTTGACAGATCAAGACACTAACATTTTTTAGCAAGTAACTTGACCAAGGTCACATAGCTAGAGAAAAAAACAATATTCAAACCCAGTCTAAAAGACTTCCTTGCCTAATGAGCCTGGAAGTCTTTGCATTCTGATAAGATTCTCTCCCCTAAATAACCTTTTCTCGCAGGTGTTACTTCTATTTCTGTGTCCTTGGTGTCAAATATTACTTGTATTCAATTGCGCACAGGGTAGATCAGGGAAATACCGGACAGACAGACTGAAAGGCAACGTGTGTCAACAAGGGCCTGATCAGGTTTCTCTAGATAATCATATGAAAGAGAGGAGAAGTAAAAACTGAGAGGGGGAACAACTGTCTGGCTTAGTGACAGAAGTACGGGAAATTACAGTATCAAAGTTCAGCCTGGTGTGAAGAATCAGCCTGTTACACGTATCCTAGAAAGGGGCTCAACGCGGATCAATAGCATTTATGTATCTAAACAAAGTTAGAAAGGATAATATTTTAGAACAGTATTTCCCAAAGTGTCCCAGGGAATTTAACAGGTGTGCTTTAAAGAA